CCCGGGAGAAAGAAGCGTCTGTTATGCATGTTTCATGCAAATTCAGCACTCGGAATTTTTGACCAAAATTGATAAAAACAGCAAGGGGTTAGCCTTGCATTTTTATTCAATTTGGACCAAATTTTGAATTTTCTTGAAACCTCTCCAAAATGCTTGTAGATGACTCAGAATGTGCTCACAGGAGTTTGAAGCGTCGTTTATGCAAATTTCAAGCAAATTCAGAATTTCAAATTTTTGATCCAAATTGACAAAAACGGCAAGGGGTTAGCCTTGCATTTTTATTCAATTTTGACCAAATTTTGAATTTTCTTGAAACCTCTCCAAAATGCTCGTAGATGACTCAGAATGTGCTCACAGGAGTTTGAAGCGTCTCTTATGCAAGTTTCAAGCAAATTCAGCACTCGGAATTTTTTGATCCAAATTGATAAAAACAGCAAGGGGTTAGCCTTGCATTTTTATTCAATTTGGACCAAATTTTGAATTTTCTTCAAACCTCTCCAAAATGCTAGTAGATGACTCAAAATGCGCTCAAAGCAGTCAGAGGCGTCTTTTACGCAAGTTTCAAGTGTTCAAAGGACTTAAATCTGTCTTTATGCAGGTTTCAAGCATATTGGAGCTCTGAAAATGTTTGACCCAATAAAACAAAGCTGCCAAGGGTCAGCCTTGTATAATGAAATTTAGACCAAATTTTTCAAACTTCCTAAAAATACTTTTAGCTGACTGAATTCCCAAGAGTAAGATTTGTTTTGCAAGTTGGCACTTCGAATGTTGGACTCATTTGACAAAAATTTGATTAGCTTCACCTTTTGAATTCTTACTTTGATCATGAGTTTACAGATCAGTCCAAGTTTGATCCCAAACAGTTAAAGTGTTTGATTTTTCACGACAAAAAAAGCTTCACTCGATTGCAATTCCTGTATATAATATAATGGACAGAAATGACTTTAATTCAACAGCAAAGATTCCCTTATGAAATCTGTATTTCAGAATTGACCATATATACACAATCTTGAATATTGTTAACAAAGTCCATTCAGTTGTTGTAAAATAAGGTTTTGTTTCTGATCCCATCTGCTGTAGTACGCCAAACTCAATCTTTCAATTTTCAGAAACTATCACAGAAATGAAGTATTTAACATATGAACACTAAAGTTGAAATCTGGATAGCAATGAGGAAGAGGGTTAGCAAATTGGAAGTCATTGCAGGCAGCAAATTTATCAAAAGCCAAACTTTTAAGAATACCAAACATTTCCACAGGACAACATTTGCATTCACAGTTACCAATTTCACTGTCAACCGGATAAAAAATGCAACTAATCAATATCAGTGGAGATGGAATAACGTCTTCACAACAATTCACTGATGAAAAGGTTGATACAAGTCTAAAAGCATGTCTTAAAGCAAGAACAAGAATCACATCAAAGCTTAATTCATTGCAGAAATAGGAAAGAGTTCCATATGCGGACGACACTTGACATCCTGGGTTAAACACTTTCACATTGGTCTGAAAACTTCTCAAAGTGTTTTCCAAGTAAACGGCATTGTATTTTCCCTCCTAAATTGGGTGACTTTTCTCGAGACTTTTTGCTTTCTGTGGCTAATAGGTCAATGTAGGGAATAATTACTGGCGTCAGTATATGGAACTCTGTCAGAAAAAAAGCCTTATAAAATGCATCATAGCCAAGTACGGTTATTTATTCATGAATTTGGCAAGATGTAAGCCGACAGAGTACAACCATTAATGCAGACTGGTAAGCTTTCTGTAATTTTTGTCAGCATGTTGTGATTGTTACAAGTAAAAAAACTACATACATTGTGACAAGTTAACTACTTATATGAAGTTAATGCACTCCATGTTACACAATTTTTTGCTTGATTACGAACTTTGCGAACGAAAACAAATTGGCTAGTAATTAAGACTTTCAATCAGGACATCAGCATGGTAGTTATCGCTCCACAATGGGTGCTCAATTTGGTGCTGCCTCAACCTAGAGGTTCCTCCAGCGGCTCAATGCTCTGGAATGGCGTGCCATTGGCCAAGACCAGACACTATGAAAAAAAAGAGACAACAGAAAAAGGGGACAATTTTGGAAAATATTGACATAAATGGTAAAAATCAAGGGAAAAGAACATTATTTCAAAAATCAGTTGAACCTCGTCGTTAATAAGAGCAGAGTTAACACAAGATTTTGCTTATAACAAGGAAATTTGTAGGTCTCAGTCCTTTGTTTTGCATTGTATTCATTCCTAATGATGCAAGGTTCCAGTTATGACAAGCCAATTTAAGGAGGTTTGACGGTAAACCATTTTAAGGATTCTTATCCACTTTCAAACTTGCCGATGTTCAATTATACAAAATGCCTTTTAGCCTTACCTTCACTCAAACACTGTCACAAACATCAGATTCCTGACCAATTGCTGGCTGGTTGTCCCATCTCATCTGTTCAAGAGCCCGACAGTTCACTGATCTATTAGGATAAACCACACATAAAATGAAAAGTACAACTTAAGCCCCCCTCAAGAAAACTAGCAAAGAGAGCAATGTATAAAATGCCCCAAATTTTAAGTTATTCTTTTGGGATTATTAAAAGATAGGTGTGGTCCTAGACAGAATTGAGTGTTGAATTGAATTGAAAACTGAAACAATTTCTTTACAATGAGTTAAGTTGGCTTGAAAAATGCAACTTCCAAGTACCTGTAAAAATGCCTCTGATGGCATTAAGGCTGATCACACGGGATGTACCTTCCATAGAATCCAGCAATGTAACAACATCAGCATTGCTACCAACACATCTTCCTGGACGATCATCCATTTCCAGTCATCCCTCTCTTCCACTGAAAATAAATGGACATGCATTTGTAACAATTCTTTTTCTTTAGTTTTGCACTGATCATCAAGGAAGTTGTCACATTGTTTTTCCTGAATTTTATTAGGTATGACTGGTAATAAAGTTGGTTTTCCAAAACACTGTCAAGTTGTTAAAACATCAAACCTAAAGTTTTGGAAACAAAAGTTTAAAGCATGTTTTTCTATTATTTTCTATCAATGGAAAAGATCTCTGCAAAAAGGGAAGATAGTGTTCCAAATTTGAATGGTGTATCTTCAAAGATTTCAAATGAAGCTAAAAACTAGTAAAATAATGTTAACAAATATGTCACGAGTAAATGCCAC